CAGGTGGACCCAGGACCAGCCCCACAGGGTTATTGTGGGGGCTCGGCGGGGTCCTCTCTGTAAAGTGCTCTCTGGGTGCCTGGCCATTGGAGAGGTCTGACGGAGGGGCTGTGGTTGTGCTGACTGGTCATTTTCTCCTCCTCATGACGAAGCCTCTGCCTCATGCCTCAGTCTAGGCCTGCAGGTTGAGCTGAGCTGTTTTCTCATTTGAAAAGGAGATTGCAGACTCCATTAGGGGCCCAGAGTGGGAATCCAGGGCGGAGCAGTGGGGCCTCAGGCTGAGGTAGCTGTCATGGGTCTGGCTGGGGCTCATTCATTCAGCGAACACATCAGAAGGCCCCAGGAGCAGGCATGTTTCTGGGCACTGACCCTAGTCCAGAGCATGGAGCAGGCAACCACCCTGCTTCCCAGAGCTTCCTTCTAGTCGGGCGTGAGGCACTCACACTAGACCTCACGGGCAGGTAGAGCCCACAGGACAGTCGATGTGACGTCCTCCTGGCCTCCCCCAGGTATGGATGCATGTGCCCGAATGTTGAAGAGGACGGTGGACCTGTGGAGCAGCTGAAAAAGTGAGTGGGCTTGGAGTCACGACAATGAAGGGACTGTGAACTGGAGGTGCTGGCAGGACCCTGCCTCCCACACATCATGGGATTTCTGCGAGAGGGCCTGAGGACTTTACCTACAAAAAAGGGAAGGAGACAATGAGAGCTTCGCACGTGGATTTGGGGCGTGGGAGAGTCCTGGGGAGAACAGCGGACACAGTCAGCCCCTAAGAAAATCCACACCTCTCCCCTCCCCATCCCAGCCCTGCATCCACTCCCCCAACCTGGGACCCAGAACTGGGGTGTGGGGAGCATCCTGCTCACTAATGTGGTAGAACCCCAACAGTGGGTGCTTGGCTGGTGCTCCCTGCCCTTGGGAGGAGTGTCAGTGGGGGGAGAAGAAGCACACAGAACACCTGGTGAGTCAGTAGCACGTGGGTGCAGGGGTTAGAGTCTGGGGTGTTACGAGGGCCCTCAGTTGAGTGCAATGAACAGAGCAGACACCACCCCTCTGGCCTCATGGAGCTGACATTCCAGTGGGAAGGGGGCAGGGACACTGACAGAGCATGCCAGGCTTCCCTGAAGAGGGGACAGGTAGTCACACCATTGACCAAGAGCTCTCAGTTGTGGAGGCTTCTGCCGGCCCCTCCTCAGAGGCCAGGCGTACCTGCCAGGACTGCCAGGTGGACAAGGGGCAGGACTGACTCTCCATGGGCAGCAGCAGGAGGCACAGGTCCCCACACGCCCCAGGGATGCTCTAGGGGTGGGGCAGTGTGGAAGGAAAGGCCAGGCCTCAGACTGCTCCCACGTGTCTCTCCCCAGGGCCATCTCCCCCATCCTGGGTACCTGGCTGGACCGGTACCCTGAGGATTTCTCCAATCCCCAGAGCTTCTCTGCCTGATGAGGCTGTTGGCCCACCTAGAGCTCAACTTTCCAGGCCCAGACCTGGAGCGTCGGGCCCAGCCTCTCCTTTCAGAGACGGAGCACCTTAAGGCAGAGGGTGAGGGGGGCTCAACGTGGGTGATGTGGGCATGTGACGAGGAGATGGGGCTCGCCAACACAAAAAAAGCTTTTAGAGGCTGGGCTTAGGCAGAAGCAAAGAGTCAGCTGAGATCACTGTCCCCATGGCCTGCAGTCCGGGAAGACTTCCTGGGGATGGGTTCTTGAACTGAGACTTCCTTGATGCAGGGGGAATGTCTTTCTTTAGAAGGCACAGAAGAGGCAGCCATGGTGGTAATATGCTCTCTTTTTCAATTTACAGAACCAGTTCCAAGAAAGACCGAGGAACACCTCAGGAGATAAAGCCAACTCCAAAGGCTGGAGCAGCTCCAGGCACTGCCCTCGCTGACCTGCGGTGGGGCGGGAGAACCCATGCAGCACGGGAGCAACTCGCCTCTGCTCCCGCGAGGCCTTTGGCCCCAAGTCTGAGCCGCCACCGGTGTCAGCTGCCGCAGCAGAGAGGTTCCCCCTTAACTGCAGTTTTCACATTTTTGTGTTTATCTTACATTATGCTTAGAACTGAACTGCAGTTTCTGCAGTATTCAGTTAAACTGAAATGTATTTTAAAATCTAGTAAAATGTTAATAAAAATAAGATTTAAATTTTAAGAAGATGCTATTTATTTATTCTTAGGGAGGAAGGGAGAGAGAAAGAGAGAGAGAGAAACATCAATGTGTGGTTGCCTCTTGCACGCCCGCAACAGGGGACCGGCCCGCAACCCAGGCATGTGCCCTGATCAGGAATCCAACCAGGGACCCTTCACTTTGTATACTGGTCAAGGCAAAAACAAAATTTAATTTAAGTACAATAAATAAATTGCATTTAACTATACCTTTTCAAAGTGTACATTCCAGCAGCATTAAGCATGTTCACACTTTTTCACAACTGTCACATCACAAAACAACCACTGTCTAGTTCCAGCACATTCTCCGATGGCTGGGGGAGGTGTTCGCAGCTTTAGTGAGCTGGGGGGAGGGGGGAGGGGATTGGCAGTCCACGGTTGTGTCTCAGTCAGGGGAGGTGGTGTCAATTAATTTCTGTTTTTCCTGCCCCCAGCATGTAACTCACATGGCAAAATTTGGATGAAATGTTAATAGTAAAAAAAGTTGACCTTGAATTATATGAACCTAAAGTATTTTCATGGCTACTAGTAATGGGTTAATTAAAAAATGTTGATACTTGCAAATAATCACTATGCACTCATTAAAAATCAGGCTAGCTGACCGAGTGCGCGAGCAGATATCCACAGCACAGCGTTAGTGTAAAGAGCAGTTACAACACAGTATCGGGAGGAGATCGTCCCTTTGGATGGGGATGGTGTGGCGGGGGGGGGGGTCGTCTTTGTCCCAGAATGAACAAAAGGCAGGGTGAGGAGGGTGCAGTGTGACCCACTCTCCCCAACAAGCTGTGTGTCAAAATGGAATTTTTTTTCAAGTGACAAGTTGTCTAGCAATTGTCCAAGGTCATATTGGCACACTAAATTCCTTAATTAGGTGGTTTCTAGGTTTTTATTTTTGTTATTTGGGTGTAGATATTTCTCTGGTAAACATTTACCTATTTATTGGTTTTTACTAGATTTATTACCATTTAATTACATTCTTGGGATAAATTCCCAAGGGACTGATGACTGAATCTAAGGTATTCAATAAATTCTCTGTGACTAGCTTGGCATTGACAAATGATTTTTATGGGGGACTCAAGAGTGGGACAATTTTAGTTTAAGGTAATAGTTAATAAGCCTAGTAGTTAATGCATGTAGAAAGCTATTGTTTCAGGAACTGCAGTGCAGCCCACCCTGACTCCAGGGAGACCACCAGCGATTGACCTTTGTGCTCCTGAAGGGACCACAGCAATCAGTGTGGCATCCGAGCCGCTGTGTTCCAGGGAGAGACAGTCGGCTGCCCAGGACACAGGACACAGGACACAGGGCACAGGATGCAGATAAAGAAAATGACCAGACAGCGGATGAAAGGACGTGAGGGTAACTGCTGGACTGCAGCTTTATCTGATTTACCTTTTTCCTGGATTCCAAATCCCTTGCCTACATTTTTGCTCCCTTATAAAAAGTCTGGCTTGAATGGAAGATGGTCTGTTGGGGGACAAACCCGCGTCTTCTCAGATCGCCGGCCATCTGATAAAGCGCCATAAAGATTCAACCCTTGTCTCTGCTTATTGGGTCTGGTAGGTGACAGTTTTACCTTTTAAAAACTCCAGCCAAATTTAATTTTAAATTTTATATTTTCTATTTATTTATTTTTTTGAGAGAGAGGAAGGGAGGAGAAAGAGAGGGAGAGAAACATCGACATGAGAACAATTCCTCTCCAACACACCCCGACGGGCGACCAAACCTGCAACTAGGCCATTTGCCTTGACTGGGAATCCAACCTGTGGACGACCTCTGTGGGACCACGACCAACCAATTGAGCCACTCCAGTCAGGGCCTTTTTTAAAAAAAATTTAGTGTATTGATGAACCACTTATTTGCTGAGGAAATCATTATATTGTGTAGATAAAGGCTCCCTTGTAAAAGAGGAAAAGTTTGGCTTTAAGCATTTACTTATTTCTCGCAAACCTTCAGGAATAGGGAGACGGAACCTCTGGTTCAATTACTTGTCCTTTGGCGCCCCCTTGTGGGAGATTTGCTCACCAGCCCCGGGGCCCCTCCCAGGCAGACGCCGGGCAGGGGGCGGAAGGGATTGGCTGACTGAAAGCTTGAGTTGGGGGAAGCCAGTTCACCTGCCACTCAAAGGCCAAGTCCACACATCTCTCCTCTTCTAGAGTAGGGGGCATTTCCACGTTGCCGTCGACTGTTTCCCTGTAATACACTGTCCCTACCTCTTGTCTCTCACCTCCCACCCATAACCCAAACCACCGAAAATCCTGTGCACAGGAGGAAGTCGCATCCCCAGCTTGCACACAGGGTCCTTTGCATTGGTCCTCACCCTCCTCTCTGGCCTTGCTTCTCCTAACTGCCCCTCACGAGCCCTGTGGACGCCTCCTCCGAGCAGGCCGCCCTCCTTCCTACCACCAAGCCTTGACTCTGCTGGTCCCTCTGTCTGGAGTGCTGGTCCCCTGTGATCCTCTTTGCAACAAAATCTTTTCTTCAAGTCCCTCCTAACATGCTGCCTCCTAAGGAAGCCTTCCTCAACTCTCCAGGCAGAAGGTGTTCCTTCCTGTGTGCCCAGGGCACCCTGTTCACGCCCCTAAGTCAGTAGTGTTCACCGTGTGTGACTGTCCCCTCCATTGGTCCCCACCCTGTGAGCTGGCCACGTGTCTCACTCATATTGCCTAGAGAGTCCCGGCACACTGTAGGTCCTCCAGAAATGCTTGTCAGATGAACGCATGCTCCATGGCCTTGGAGTTTGGGGGTTGGCTCACTGAGGGAGGACATCCCAGGAGGGTGTATTGAAGTTGTGTGTCTGACCCCACCCAAGCCCCGGAGCTGGGAGGATGGGTGCCAACGCAGAGAGCTGGGCCACCTCGGGACCTGGTGTGGATCCGAGAGGCTTCAGATCAGTCTCTGAGGGAAGGTGGGTCCCTGGGACGGGCTGAGCTAATCTTAGAAGCATGTGCCAAGCGATGCCATCTCAGGGATGCAATTAAGGCTCAGCTGTGTTGATGAGGAACCTGTGAGGAGTCACCGCAGTGGCTGAGGTAATTGGAGGCAGCGAGGGTGGGCAGGAAGGAAAAGGCAGGAGATTCTTGGAGGAAGGGGCCCCCTGCTGAGAGCTGCCCCCCCCCTCCCCCCAGGAGGTGCTGCTCTCTCCTCCCAGGTTCTCCACTGTGCCCAGCTGCTCCGCCCCCACATTTCCACAGTTGGCCCCAGTCCCTCTGCCATCAGAGGGGCCCAGCCACCATGAGGAACACAGCAGTAGAGGAATCGCTCTTCCAAATCATCCACAGCTACCACCAGTATGTGGCCCGGGAGGGGGACCTGGAGACCCTGTCCCTGGAGGAGCTGAAGGCCCTGCTCATGGACAACGTGCCCGGCTTCATGGACAGCCTGGTGCGTGGGCCTGGGGTCCGGTGGGGGACGAGGGAGAGGGCTGGTGGTGGGGCCGCAGGGAGGGTTTGGCGCAGGGAGCCGTCTCCCAGGAGGAGCTGAACTGCGGGGCGGGGGAGTGCCGAGGGCAGGACCTGTGGTCACAGGGAGGTGGGCCTGCCTGGCCCCACTCCAGCCCAAGTGTTGCTAGTCCTTGAAAGTCCATCCTAAGCCCAGAGCCGTTTGTTCCCCTGCTTGTTCGCTGCCATGAGAGCAGGCCCTGAACTTGCCCTCTGCCCGCAGGTAGGCCTTTCAGTTTCTCATCCCACTCGACCTGCCCTCTGAATGCAGCCCCTTTTCCTGGGTCTCGCACAAGCCCCCCCCCCCCACCCCTCGCTAAATCCCCAAGTCTGGGGAGGATACTTGGGTTAAAGGGAAGCCAGGAGGGAGTAGGTGTGGGTGGACAGGAAGTGTGGCTTCCCCTCCTCCCTCTTGTCCCTGGGCTGACAGAGTCTCGGCCCAGCCTGGGGGCCCAGCCCCAGTCTAGGCTGCTCAGGCCTGGGAGTCTTCCCCGCCATCAGGCCCAGCCGTGGGATTACTGGGCTCCCTGGGGACTACAAGGCCGGCCGGAGTGTCTGTCCCTGTACCATGCCCTGGGGGTCCCCAGAGGACTCCAGTGGCCTTGACTGAAGTACTGGGGACCCCTGGAGTAGCTGGTGGTGGGTAGTGGGGAGGGACAGAAGGTACCAACCTGCCCAGGGCTGTTCTCCTGCCCCCCCCCCACTGAAGGCTGCTCTCTGGGTGCCCAGCCACCAGCCCAGTCCTGCCGAAACCTGCTTCACTGCCCCTGCCCAGGGCTCCCACCTCTTCTTCTCCTTTTGTCTCTTTGCTGCATCTTTACCCCTGACTTCCTTCCTACCATCCCATCCGCCTCAAATGCTCCTTTCTTTTCCTTCTCCATCCCCAGTCCCTCGCCCTCGGGGGCCACCTGCACTGGGACACCCCGGACAGTTCCGGGGCCCACGGCAGGGTCTTCTCCCTCCTCTGCACTTTCCCTAGGACACAGGCCAATTGTCAGAAACTACTGTAGGGCAGGTGCACACGCTGCAGAAATCTGACACCACAGGTGCTGGCCCTGCAGTGGTGCCAGAGGTGCAGACAGGAGGGTGTGTGGGGTTGGGGGGGTGCACCCCACCTTGGCCAGCTTCCTGTGCGAAGCCTCAGGCAGGGCTGTCCCTGCAGGGGAGCTTGTAGTTCAGCAGGGGAGACAGACTTAAAATGCCACCAGCAGAGGACCAGGCACAGCAAGCAGTGCCTGGTCTGCACCTTCTGTCTGCCCGTGCAGCCCAGGTCCAGGGGCCCCGCACCCCTCTGCCTCTTCTGCCCGATTCTGCAGCACACGCTGTCCTGGTCCCTGCGTGAGCGAGGAGCTGTTTCCTGCAAGCCTTTGGCAGGCAGGGCCACACACAGTTCCCCTGTCCCGGTCCTTCACCAGTGGGAGGTGGAGAGCCTGGCCAGCTGCTCAGGGCGAGGGCCTGGGTGCTGGCTGACCCTCTGCCCACTCCCCAGGGCCGGAAGGAGCCGTACTTCGTCGCCGAGCTGTTCCGGGAGGCGGACAAGGACAAGGACAACCAGATCTGCTTTGACGAGTTCCTGCACATCCTGGGCAGGCTGCTGAGGGACTACCACCTGCAGTACCACCGGCAGCTGTGCGCCCACTACTGCACGCAGCACGGCCTCTACTGACGGAGCAGGGCCGCCTCCCCACAGGGGCCTGCCCGGGAGCCGTGACCCAGCGCTGGGCGGCGGGGTGGAGCTGGGCCACGTGTGTCTGTGTGTTCCCGATGTGTGTGCACAAGCATGTGCATGTCTGTGGGAAGGACACCTGGGAGGGAAGAGAATAAAGCAACTTCACAGCAGTTTCTGGTGTTACTCCGCTCGTGGCTAGGGCGTCAGCCATGGGTCCATGAGGGGCGGTTTGGATCCCCCAGGTAGGGGGTCATCTATTTTGGGCGAGAGACACAGCCCCCCGTCTCTAGCAGCCCCTGTCTGAGGGGTGAACAGCCCCTGCTCTCAGCCTTCAGGCTGAGAGGGAGGAGTCTCTTTGTTGGGGAGCTGACCCTCTGACACATGATGTTCTGATCCTTCAGTCACTACACGCACGTGATGGGAGAGGACAGGAGGGCAGGGGCACACCTGACAGGGCCTGGTTTGGAGGGTCTCCTGGCTCTGGACGAGGCCCCAGGGATCGGCGGAGAAAGGCAGAGCGGCCTGGGAAGGGGCCAGGAGGGGGCGGGAGGTGAGGCTGGTAGCAGAGCGGGGGTGGCGGGCCTGTGGGGAAGTGCAGGTCGCGGGGTGGGTCTGTGCGAGCTGAGTCAGCGAGGGGCACAAGGGCAAAGCCAGCAGCCCAGCCTGCTATGGGGAAGAGCACTGAGTGCAACTGGGGTGCCTGTCAATCAAGGAAGTCTTCCTGGAGGAAAAAGGGTTGTGCCTGGTTTTACTAATAAAAAATGATGATACATGTGGGTGTCTCTCCAGCTCAGGGCTACTTATGACTCACTGATCTGAGTCCTCCCGGGGCCTCGGACCCCTCCCAGCGCAGACCTGCCCCTGCCGCGTCTCTGTGATGTCTGTTTCTCTGTCCCCCCTGGGGGGCCCAGGACTCTGAGGCAGAATCTCTCTGGGACGGCCTCCTCTGCCTTAGGCCCTGCTGGTGCTCCTCTTGGTGGGTTCTCTGAGAACGACCTGGGAGCCCGTGTCCTGAGCTCGCTGTGGTGGCAACGATGAGTTTTAAAAGAATGATGGGCGATCATCTTCGTTGCTCTCCAGTGCACATGACTGGGGGTTCATTTAAGGGAATTGGTTTGTCTCCCCGCCCCCTGACCTGGGTCTGTGTGCGTCCAAGGGCAGCAGCGCCCTGTGGGCAGAGCAGGGCCCTCTCTGTCTGATCAGTCAGGCTCCAGGGCAGATTTGCCCTGGTGCTCCCTTCCACACTTGCCTGTCTGCCAACACTCTTTTCAGGTTCCTCTAGCAGATGAAGTACTTTAAGGATACACCCAATTTAGATGATTTGCCCATGAAAATTTCTTCAAACTTTGCAACATGGGTTCAAAAATATTTTGGAGACATAGGTATATTTTCAAAGATTTCAAGAGAAATCTAATTATAGAGAAGGTGCAACGTGTTTTTTTGCTAAAAGTTGATAAAGCTCAAGTATACCATTTTTTAAACAAAAAAGATTTTGTTTATTTATTTTTAGAAGAGAAGGGAGGGAGAAAGAGAGGGAGCAAAACATCAATGTGTGGCTGCCTCTTGCATCCCCTACTGGGGACCCGGCCAGCAACCCAGGCATGTGCCCTGACTGGGAATAGAACTGTCAACCCTTTCATTTGCAGGTCAGGGCTCAATCCACTGAGCCACGCCAGCCAGGGCCAAAAATATTTTTAATATGCATCTTTTGCTGAACTTACTGTTTGTGTGGGGGGGAGGATAACCATGTTATTATCTGATGGAGCATTGGTAGCTGAACAGCATTAACCCAGAAAAAACAAAAAACAAAACAAAATGAGTTAAAGGAGTTCTGTTTGAAGTCTTTGGACAACTATCAATGAAGCTAGGACCTAAAGATCAGCTTCAAAGAGAGAGAGAGAGAAGCTCATTGGAAGAAAATTAATTCTCTGTCTTTTCCCCTCGGGGCTTTTGCCAGTTAGTTCTTGGCAAGCACAAGAAGACAGACACTGAGAATCTGGGAAGAGGGCCGCTGCTAGGAGTCAGAGAAAACAGCAACACTTTAAGTAAGAAGAAATGGAAGAGGAAGGAGAAAGAAGAGGGTGGGGAGGGGAGGAAGAGAAGGAGGAAGACAAGAGGAGGAGGAGAAGGACAGGAGGTTGTTTTCATGGGAGAGCATTAACTTACCATGGGAATATACAACAGTTTGTGAATCACCTCTGTTGATGGACATTTGGGTTTTATCCAGTTTTTCCCTAGTACAAATGGCATGGCTATCAATTTATTTTTTCTTTGAAATTCTTCTTGGATGCATACACTGGGAAGGAAATGGGAGTAGTACTACCAGGGAACAGGGTAGGTGCGTTTTTAACTTTATGGAAACTGCCAACTGTTAGGACAGCGCTTGTGCTGCAGGCCAGGCCAGTCCATGTGATGCTGTGGGTCCTGGCCTGAGAGCTCAGCTGGTTGGAGGTCGCCCTCACCAACCAACGAACACGCATAGGTGAGTGGAACAACAAATTGATGTTTCTCTCTGTCTCTCCCTTCCTCTCTCGAGAAAAGCAAGTAAAATGAAAAGCCACACTGTGGTCTCACACACACTCAGATGTGGAAGACAGAGAAAGAACAACTTTTAAACTCTTTCTAGGGTTTTTGTCTTCACCTTCTTCCAAGCCATTAACGGCATCTGTGAAGATGGTTGTGGTCACTCCAAATGTCACTGCCAGCCTGTTCAGTCCTGGCAGCAGAGCCAAAGAGGTACCCCAGGGCAGCCCACCCGTGTCTCAGACTCACAATGTCGGGGGAAATAAATGCCTGGGAAATGAAGAGCGTCAGGTGCTTCCCCTCCCCGGTCATGCCTATGCCGCTCTGCAGCTCCGTGCCCTTTAAAACGGTATCTTGGTGCTTGCTGTCCATCCCTCCTTTGCTGGCCTGCATTTTACTGGACCTGTTACATGGTCACGGTCACAGACCTCTGTCAAGGGCTTTACAGCAGCCCAGGCAGGGACTGAAGGAGCCCGTTTTGGCCAGAGGATCCTAAAGAGACCCCCCTTTTGCTGCGAGGACACTGGGGGAGCCTTGAGAGAAAAGAGCTTGTGTGGGAAGAGTGAGCAGGTTGGGAGCATGGGAGTGGAGGGGAGGGAGGGTGGGCACAGCTGTCCCAGCGGTTCTGGGTACATTGGAGGAACCTGTCACTGGTCAGGAGACAAGAGCACTGGCTGCCTCATGCCCTGAAAAGGGTCCCAGTGGCGCGGCTTCACAGGCCCAGAGGGGCAGAGTCCACACTGCTGGACGATGGGGGTGGCAGGGACAGAGTGGGGGGTGGGTGCACCTGGGGCTCAGACACAGCTAAGCTGCGGGGAGTGGAGGCGTCTGTGGGGACCACTCTTGCACCTGCACACAGAGTTCAGGAACTGGAAGCTCCAGTTTGATGCGGGATCTCCAAGCCAGACTGCGGGACCTCCAGGGTCTGGGTGGGTGGGGGAGGGCAGTTTGGGGGAGAGATTGCAAAACTGCAAGCCAGGGCTTCTTCGAGCCACATATCCTGGCCCCAGCAATCAACCCTGGGCATTTTTCAGTTCAAACTGTTGATGGCCAGAATAGGTGTGGCAATTTGTAAGGTTTTCATGTGTATGGCCAGGCACGGGAGTTTGCCCTCTTTCCCTACAGTAGTGGTTATGGCGTCTGCCTTAAAGGCCAAACGTCCCCAGTTTGAAACCCGGTAGAAACAATCCGTTATTTTTTGGATGCCAAGCTGCATTTTTCCATTCCCCGAACTCAAGGGGTGAAGTTCAAAAACCACCCAAAGCCCACTCACCATGACAAACCAGGCCTCCTTTGTTGCCTGTGAGTCACATTGCCCACTTACCTTTAGATCCAGAATCCCCTGTCTATCTACGGCCCCAGTCTTTAAAATAGACTAAAATCACACACGAAATCATACTTGCTCCCATCAGGCAGGCTGAACAACTCAGAATTCATGGGTCATTGGGAACCACTGTGCCAGGTTATCTCAGGAGTGGGAATAATCAGCCCTAGGTGGAGCTACCTTAAAAAAATCATAAAAGCAAGCTGCTAAGGGATCAAACTGCTGACAAGCCACTTAACTGGACCCCACAAAAAAGTTCAAGAAGCTGTGTAAAAATACTGAAATAGCCAGTACTCACGAAATACACCTTGACAATGTCTGCCATTCAATCAAAGAATGCCAGCCATGCCAAGAGGCAGGAAAACAGGAGCCATGATGAGGAGAATAACCAGTCAGTCAAAACTGAACCACAGCTGACACGATGTTAAAATTAGCAGAAAGGACTCTGCAACAGTTGGTGTTGTAACTCAGCAGACAGGGGCCCATTGGTGTGGTACCCTGGTGAATGGCCCAACAATTCATGCTGGGAGAAACAGGTTTTTATTTACAATATTCCAACCCTGAGGGGCAGGGCTCACAGCACTTAAGCTCAGTGCCCTCTTTCTCACCGAGACCCAGCACTTCCCTTATTCCCCAAAAGGCTATAAGCCCACACCTCGACCAAGAGTCCCCCATTTCCTTAAGCAGGCTGCTCACACAGTTCTCCAGCCTCTCTGGGAGGTCCCAGAGTGGCCACCCTCACACAGCAGCTCTCTCCTTCAGGATCTGGGGTGCCTTGTCATCAGCCTCCCTGTGACAGTCCAGGAAAGCACGTGTCATTTATACTGCGTCATGGAGAAGTCCAGGAAAGGCACAAGCCCCCAGAGTCCAGACAGAGCTGGGGTTTGCAATGTCAGCATGTCAGCATCTTGCTAGGCCATCCTTGATGGCTTTGGAGTCCAGTGGAGTGGACATGATCAAAGCAGCATGCCTGCTCTCTTACCTGCCCATGGCCGACCAGCCCCCCCACAGCCTAAATGGCGCCTGTCTCACTATGGGCAGCCTGCCTGGATCTACCTGCACTACCAGCTGTGCCATGGCTCTTCCTCCTCATCCTTCTTCTCATGGCTGCCTGCACGTAGTTTTAAATCCTGACCCGCAACTTCCTACATGACCTCATGTCCCACTCCTCCCACAATGAGCTACAGTTGCCTGTCTCCTGTATACTTCACATTCTCTTGGCTGCCATCCCCAGTCAGGGCAAGACAGGGCAAGAGAGGCCCAGTGATCCAGGGGGAACTACCTCCCCTGGGCGGGTACATCGGGAGCCAGGATGCATTCTGA